TCCAGACACTAAATGAATTGTCATAGACACGTATCCTAACATGTATAATGTATGCACCAAATTTGAACACAAACTGACAAAGCATGCATAAGATATCACATTTTTAAAAAACAAAATGGCTGCCAGTCAGCCATTTTGGATTGAATCAGTAAACCACTGCATGTGCATACATGTATGTCCCAGATAAAGTACTAGACACATGCAAAGAATGAACAGATTTGGTCTACAGGGTTCTGAAATACAACTCTGAACGGACAGACGGAGACTTAATTATAAGTCCCTTGTTTCGAACTTTGTTTGAAGGAGGACCAATACATGTATAAGAAAGAAAAATAACAGAAAAATAACAGAATTTTTTTTTATATAGAGCAAGAACAGGCGAAATGACAAGGATACATCAATATATTTCCTACAAACATGTTTAATTAAGGACTTGGCTAAACTCAACAAATAAATATACGAAATAACAATTTAATCACTTCACAACAGGAGCATATAGCACATTGACATATAGTGGTATATATGACATTAACAACACTGATGTATTAATTGTCATCCACCATATGTTAACACAACATAAGGCAAACAATATACAATGCAATTCAGCTTCCATTATTCCTTTCCACAAAGCAACTAATACAAATGTCTATGACTAGCATGTTGTGTTTTTTTTCATGAAAACATAAAAAGGGCAAAGTTCATGAGAGATAGTAATTCCTGTGTGACCTGTCTATTAAAAATATGGGTATAATGATTACCCTGGAATGCAATATTCTAATTTGCATCTCATCATACTACACTCTGTTGTAGTTGTTAAATAAAACCAATGTCCACATACATACAAATATAACTATCGGGGATTTGGTGCAATAACACATGTGTAATCATTGAATACAATTTAACTTGTCCACTAGCTGTTACACAGAGTTAATAATTAAACATTGGTCGAGTTATAATAATCTTTATCTTGGATCTACCATCTGGAAAGGTTTCCAATCCAAATAACTGTTGACACAACAGACCAATAATGTTGTAGCATACACACACTAAATAGCTAGAATACTGTAGCTAGACTAGAATAATATTATATAAACATTATAGGTTATTTTTAGTTTTTCTCTTTAGTATACATATATCTACTGGGGAAATAAAAAAATATAATGAAGGGGTTTTGTTCTATATTTAATAGCAATGTCTTTATCAAAACCAATAGAATACTAACACTAGAAGGTGTAGAGCACAAAAGAAACCAACAAATTCAGGTCATTCAAACCTGTTCTGTGAATGGTGGTAACATTCAGATAAATGAAGCACATAATTAATAGACTGAGACATTAAGGAAAAATAGTCGATATTTAACACTTAAATAAAATAAAAGCAGTAGGCTATCCCAAAAACTATTCTTAAAATTACACGGATATACCAACAAAGACCCGATATTCAGTGTTATTACCAGCAAGTTTTTGAAACACTCTTTATTTGCTTTCAAAATGATACACAATTTTAGTTTCTAATTTGTTGATTTGAAAATTTGGAAAATAAACATTGATTTATTGTTCAATTTTTGCTGCTAAACTAAAGAGTATATAAACTTTAGTAACAGCACAGCTCTCTGGTGTTGACATTGTTTTTACTTTGTGCTGTACAGCTGTAAATTTGTATAATTTGCCATGAAAATAATGACAATTATTAAATGTTACTAAATTACATAGTTACCTCATAGCTTATGATACTTGTATTGTGTAAGATAGTAACTTTGGACATTGAAATATACAATCATAACAATGTTCAACAATATAGCATTAATGGCATGCAAAAAGTTATGCAGAAAATGCCAAGAAAACAGAACAGACTATTTTATCTCATTGCATATCCGACAATTATAGAAATTATACCCTTTCAATAAGTCTGCTGCCCTCAGGAGAGGAGAAAAAACAGCAGCAAAACAAGTACTTCCCCTGGAGCCTCTTCCAGAGTTCCTCTTTCACAGAAAATTGTCAGGGTGTCCGACTTATGACAAAACTGAGCCTGATTGGCTACCTAAATAACTTGGATTGAACTTTTACAAGTATACCTAATCGGTGGCCAATTCACAAGCCAGCAACACCTAGTTTACTTAACAAGTGTCCATTTCACAAGCCAGCAACACCTAGCTTACCTAACAAGTGTCCATTTCACAAGCCAGCAACACCTAGTCGACCTAGCTAGTGGCTAATTCACAAGCCAGCAACACCTAGCTTACCTCGTTAGTGGCCAATCACAAGCCAGCAGCACCTAGTCTACCTAGCTAGTGGCCAATTCACAAGCCAGCAACACCTAGTCTACCTAGCTAGTGGCCAATTCACAAGCCAGCAACACCTAGTTTACCTAGTTAGTGGCCAATCACAAGCCAGCAGCACCTAGTTTACCTAGTTAGTGGCCAATCACAAGCCAGCAGCACCGAGCTTACCTAGCTAGTGGCTAATCACAAGCAACCAACACCTAGCTTACCTAGCTAGTGGCCAATCACAAGCCAGCAGCACCTAGCTTACCTAGCTAGTGGCCAATCACAAGTCAGCAGCACCTAGCTTACCTAGCTAGTGGCCAATTCACAAGCCAGCAGCACCTAGCTAGTGGCCAATCACAAGCCAGCAGCACCTAGCTTACTTAGCTAGTGGCCAATCACAAGCCAGCAGCACCTAACTTACCTAGCTAGTGGCCAATCACAAGTCAGCAGCACCTAGCTTACCTAGCTAGTGGCCAATTCACAAGCCAGCAGCACCTAGCTTACCTAGCTAGTGGCCAATCACAAGCCAGCAGCACCTAGCTTACCTAGCTAGTGGCTAATCACAAGCCAGCAGCACCGAGCTTACCTAGCTAGTGGCTAATCACAAGTAACCAACACCTAGCTTACCTAGCTAGTGGCCAATCACAAGCCAGCAGCACCTAGCTTACCTAGCTAGTGGCCAATTCACAAGCCAGTGTTCTTTCCATGAGATACCAATCTTTGGAATTCCCCCCATTACCGGGTAGTTTGTTCATTAAGTAATAGATTGGAGCAACATGTCATTTTAAAATAAAACACAAATCCAGTTACCATATTTTAAGAATAATATTTCAAACATGTAGTGACATTATACACATGTATATGTATGACATTTTTTAGACTACTTTATTGCATGCATTAGAATACATACTTTTGTAATGGTGTTATATGTCACCTGATCATCCAAGTGTATTGATATCTAAAAAGTAGTGTCATGGGGGAAACTGAAAATTGACGATTTGAAATTAATTGCTTGTGTTGTACAAAGTTTGGCAAACTCACAAACATCTGCCATCCCTATATCTTAACTCATCCTATCATCATTCCGCCATAAACAAAAGAAATATCTAATAATATAGTAATATAGGAGACTTTGTTTGTGAAACACTATGTGTGACCAATGCCATATCTGTTGTCATGATATTCTGTGACAGCTTTTACAAAAAGATTCACTCAAGTCTAAAAATAGAATTTCGTGACATAATGACAGACATTATATGTACGCATAAAGTATGCATAAAAGAGAGGTGACATAATACATACACATACATGTAATAACAATACTGAAATACTAAAATGGATATTTTAACAGATCAAACTCAAAATATTAATTAAAAAGAAAGTGAAGCTATTGTAGATGTACTTGATGAAATTATTCATAAATCAAATGTTTTTAAAGGCAAATTGAGCCAAATTCAAAATTTTCACTACTGAACATATATGTAATGCATTATGGGAATGAATGTCCCACTGTATACATGTAAACTATTATCACTAGATGGAAGCTCACTAAATTACGGCAAGTATAATTTTTTCCATTATTTTAACAATATTTAGATTCATGTCAATATTAATACTGTATTAATTATGTTACATGAAAATTTCAATGATGATGACTACATGTTACATGAAAATTTCAATGATGATGACTACAATTTTTATTTGGACCACTTTGCCCTGCAAGTCAAATTCATTTTAGTTTTCAAATGGCAACCATTATAGTGCTTGATTTTCATATGACCATGTGCGTCTACAAGCTTATACAGGATATCACTTAATCATTTGTGTATAGCATTGAATATAATCCCTATCTACCCCTTTTATGTTTTCAACATAACCAGAAACTATATTTCCACTTTCATCTAAAGACTGTTGAAACATCGAACTTAGACCTCTCATTTTGAAGTCTATAGTTGTATACGGAGCAATACATGGAGGGCTCAAGCAATGCAATGAGTTGCTTTGTTTGTATACAGATACAATCATGATTCTGATCTCTATATACTATATATATACCTAAAATTTGTGTATTACAACTGCAATGCAAGTCACACACAGGAGGAAATACTGAACTTTTTTATATTGAACTTAACTTATCATCATGGACATATTAACTTGGTACATGAATGTTATCATATACATGTATGCACTGTGCGTAGACAAGGAGATAGCATTAAGTATTTATGCAATGCAATCTATATATATGATAGTTTGGATATTGGTTCCAGTACAACGAACTTAATAACAAGATAACTATAATCTTCTTATTATTTATTAAATAAGTGTGTATCCAATTAATTTGTACACTTATGATCATTTTTTAAATGTTCAAAAAGGACATCGGCCATTGTCTATCTGTAGTAGAGGTTACCATACATTATTACTATCATTATTTTAAACTGACAAGCAGGATGTCAATTTATTAAAAAATATAATACTCGAATTCACTGAAGTCCATTACTTGTAATAAAACATTTAACACACTAGCGGCATGAAATCGCGGTACTGCAGTACGTATTCTCGGTGAGATACGTAACAGCATAACAGGTAATATGGACTTCCAACTGCTACTGATGCACATCACGCATCTGTCAACGATCGAATGAGTCGCAGGCAAAAAAGTACACCGGTAACGGTCGGAAAAGGTAAACTTACCCCCGTACACGGTATTAATCGTACAACTCATTGCACTTACCTATATGACAGAAACAGTGCAGGCAATAGAGATCAACACTCCGATCAGTGAAAACAATTACTGTGATGTCAGGTTGCAATCGGCCTAATATATACGGTGAGCAGCAGCAATGTTCGACTGGTCCCGCTGGTGCGCCATCTTGTACATGTTCCAAAAAGCGAGAAAATCTATTGCACATTGGAGAAGAGAAACAACTTACATCACATCAGCGAACCCCCTAAGTAAGTTTTAATAAATAACAGGAGGGATTTAAATACTTTATAAATTTGACAGTCAAATTATGTTTATCTGATTATATGTTATATCAAATCTTAACTCTTACACTCAATGTTTGAACCATGTATAGGTCTTTTGCGAATAAAAATATCACAATGTTTACAACCGAAATGTCATTGACACCTTTTAACCACACTTCTCTCTTATAAATTATTACGCGATATAGTTCCAGTGATACAATCTAAATTTACGAATATCATAAGACTAAATTTCAACATTTCACCGACAATTTTCGCATATGGGATAATATAAATAAAACGCGCTGATCGTACCTGGCATGGGTTTGAAAATAAACTAGACCTTGACTGCCCGGCGGACGTAGACACGATCAGCTGATTAGCAATCCACGTGTGTTGGTGCTTAGTGGCATGTTTTCCGCGTGGCGTTGTTTGGACGCCATATTTAGGGAGTTGTTAGCTGTGTACGGAAAGAACAGTGTGCAAGGAAATATTTCAAAATGAGCGACGATGACAGGGATATTGACATCGAAAGCGACGTAAGAATCTATCAGTAGAAAGGCGATTTCGTGCCTGATATTATTTGTAATTAATTCGCGAATTATTGGTGTATTTTCGATCTCTTTTTTTCTTGCAGGAAGAAGCATTGAGTCCATCCAGTCACAAGAACGAGGTATGCGTGTATACACAAGGTCACGTGCATATTAAAAGAGCGATCATTCGTTTGCCAAGCTGTGTAGAAAGATGCCGAAAAAATATTGATCTCGGGAATTCTGTTTTTTCCTGGCTTGTCTTAAATTTTGACCATATGACATTACAATTTTGTTTACGTATTCAACGATTCTCTTAAAGTTTCTTGTAGTCAATAAAAAAAAAAACGTCGAGTGACCGCTATATATCGCTACAATATCCTGTACTCTATTTTGAAAAACGAAATCCAGGGTTCACTTTTCACTGGGTTGTACGTTTAGGTTTTCTTTTGATGTCGATTTACTAATGTCGGCCATACGCGAAAGCGATTATTAAACCGTTTTTTTTTAGTTTCTACTCGTCTCACGTAGTTGGCTATTCTGAGATTATTTCTACTTGATGTCATGCGCTATTTTTATTTGCACGTGTGTCTATGTTTATGACATGTCAACACGCGTAAGGTCGCACGTATGTCGGCCAGTGCTCTATAGATCATTGTACATCATTTGTTTTTGTCTTTTTTAATCATATTCTCATGTCACTTGCAGGCTGAGAAGAGAGCACACCACAATGCTCTGGAACGCAAGAGGAGGGATCACATCAAAGACAGTTTTAATGGTTTAAAGGAATCTGTACCAACGTTACAGGGAGAAAAGGTTTGTGGATCTCCTAATTTTACCAACCCCTACCAGCCTTGATATGTTTATTTTATCATTATGCTGAACTATTCCATGTTATATAAAAGAATTATTGTGATCACAGAATGTGTCAGCTGTAATAATATTTCTGTTATAAATATACATATTGCTTTGTCATTTATCTTGGTCTAATGTTATGTAATTTATTAACATATGGATGCTAATGATCATTATCTGTTGGTGTTTTCACCCTGCTTAGAGTGCAGTGTTTTTCGGAACACACTACGCAACCTTACTTGCAACATGGAAGTAGAAATGCTCCATGCTTGCAAAGATCTTGTCGTGAACTCGAAAAACAACAATTGCATTTCAATATGGCGACTCACAGTGGCAGAATAACAACGTGAGGTGAACATGTGGTCTTCTTATTTATTGGTGCAGTAGACTGAACAATTCATATCCACCAACATTAATTAATTGCAATTTAATAAGATGTAGACATAAAATCATGTTTTAGGGTGGTGCTGTAGTCTGTAGGGAAATTTTTAATAGTGTATCTTGATAAACTTTTATTTTTTACATACAAAGTGAGTTTTTTAAAACATTCATCCTGTATTACAGTTACCTGCAATGTTTGTTGTGTCTAGTTGTGCCATAAAATTCCATGGTTATACATTACAGCATTTGTACTTAATTTCATTTATTTATTTATAGTAGGTCATGAATTTGCACAAAAGCAATTAACTTTGCAACCACTCAGCCAAGTTTTCAATAGAACCAGGTTCATAGTGTGACTTGTTACTATGACAATATGTTAGTCATAAGTTATGCCTGAACACATGCTGATGCATGAAACTTGTGGTTTCAAATTTGAAAATACTGAGTTCTTTTGATGGCTTCCTGTAATAGAGTGTACTAGTATTACAGCCATTAGTTACATAATCACATTGTGATATTTGTCAGTTGCTGCATAGAACAATTAACATTACAAAATAAATACCTGTACTCACATGTCATCCTATTGTTCTACTTTGTCCTTCATTTACTATTGTAAAGCAGAGGTCCAATTATTCCAGTACAGTGTTAAAGCACACATAGCATTACTATGATGTATTTGGTGTTTAGACACATACACTGTAGCCATGACATATACTGTCAAACCCGTCAAAACGGTCTTGGAGATTTTTGGTGTTTATAGACAGGTTTCCTTTATATACAGTTTATTCTTGAATATTAACTAGACCATGGACCCTAAGGTCTATGATCAGATAGTAAATGATACCGACATTGTCCAAAACATTTTGACGATATGAATCTGAATATTATTTAAATTTCAGTAAAATGCATTGGATCAAGATCAAATTTTTTATTTTTCAAATAATTTATTGCCGTACTGATACAGTTCAGATATTTTGAGAATTCACAGACATTCTCGTAACATAATGTGGAAATGAATTATCAATGCTGTAGTATGATCAGTTGATATGGATTTCAGCGAAAAATGGCTCATCAAAAGATTTTTTTTTTTTAAATGGTAATTTTTTGAAAGCTAAACTGAATAAGGTATTTACTGGCTTTCATTTTCATGTTCACTAACACATCATAGTGGAAGTGTAGTTTATACTCTGTTATTGTGGTTCACAACAGGTAAGCGTTCACCCCTTAAAAAAATCATGATCGAGTATGGTAAATCAGCTTGTTGGCGCTGGCGATCGATCTAAAAGAAAAAAAAAATTGTATTTTGTGACTATATAGGTGACTTTAGGCACAAACAAAAATGTTAATTCTAATTAACTTTATTTTTGCCTCTACTTTGTTTATAAATTGTTTATTTTTCTATTCTCCTTCTCTACTATCACAAATAGTAATTATAGTAAGATGTTTTTCTCTATATTAATGTATGTTTTCTTTTGTGTCAATGATGTGCCAGTGAAGTCGTACAAATGGTTGCGTTACGGCAAATCTTTGTGCGTCAGTGGCATGTTATATCGACTTAGAGGGCACACCAAAACTAATTTAAGTAGATTGAGCAATAATACTACAAAGCAAACAGACTATTTGACCCTGTTCAGGTGACCTTTACAGCACAAGAAGGCCAAAGCACTAGGTTTAGTAAACAATAATGTCTGTTGGTAGCATTTATATCAGAGACGAACTACTGCTTCTTCGATCGATTAACAGATTATCTTCAATGTGTTTACATGGCAGAGGGTCGAAAAACAGCCAAGATCTGCCAGAGTTCAATTCAGTTCGATCAGAGCCAAACGGAATAGTGCCCTCAAATACAACATGCCTGAAAACGATTTTAGTGCGTGCTTGTGTTATTTCTTTACATGGCACGATTCAATGTCATGAGTCTGAGCTCAGACTAGTAATACAACAGACTTGCAACGTCCATTGTTTAAGGTGTTAATCGGCTTAATTGTATATGCTATGTGTGCCACGCTCTGTAGCATTGACATAGACACTGTCTAAGTTTACCGAGCATTGGATATTCTGCACACTTCGGCTTCTTCGGAAATTGCGTATTTCTTTGTAAAACGGATCCGGATATTTTTAAAAAAACGGGAGATACGTTCTGGACATTTTGACCTTTGCAGCTGTGAATTTTAAGAATCGACCAAGAATCAGGGGAGTTACAAGTAACTGAATGTCTTAGTGTTTACCTCAAATAGTTTTTGAATATATAATGAGCAACTTTGAAACGATATTTCTCGCTGTTGCGGATTTTGCGGAAGGTTTCCAATATTTTTTCGGAGAGAGCATATCGCTGCGTTTTGAACGATCATACTTCTTTGTGTGTTATCCGTGTTGTTTTCGTGTTCCGGGATGCTGAAACATGAGATACCTAGTGTCATGTACATGATACATGTATCTCTCAGCGTATCAGCGTGATCCGGTAAAGGTTAAAACTGGAGGTGTTATTTTTGTCTCGTTCGACTTCATAGTACGCGATCTACGCGTTGTTCAGTGACTGTTTAAATTTTCTATTGTGTGTCAGTATTGTTGTTATTTCGAGTTTCACTGATTTTGTTTGACTTCCGTCATAGTTTTGCATAAAAATAGCCCAGTATATTTCTTTTTATTCTTAATTTCAGGAAATGAAAAACACGAGATTGATCAGGGGTTGCAAAGTTCTACAGAAAAATTGTCATTATTTTCGTCAAAATGTTCTCCTAAAATAGCTTTCCACTCGTAATTATCGTCCTCGGATTCGCCAAATTTTTCTGTAAATGCCATTTTCGAAGTTCACTGACAACTACTGTCGTCTATGTCACTTCCTGTCTTTATGTCTCCCGATGCATCGCGATAGTTGATTGTAATATGAATAGGTCTCGCGTTATTTTGTGAAATATGATTAAAATGTTGTTGCTCAGCAACGTTTACTCGGTACGATAAGAACTGATAACCTAAACAAACGTGACACGCATTACTTCAAAAGAAAACGCTGCGTTGCGAGTCTGTTGTATTACTAGTCTGAGGTCTGAGACAATGCACTGGTGTAATAATTTTGAATAAACAGGATACACGGCAGCTAAAATTCGCTAAATGTGTTGCAGCCTATTCACTTAAGTTATTGTCATGCAAAATTACCATCTTGTAATTGTTCAACTGTTGTGATATGTGTAACAGTTGTCAACTTAAAACCAAGTAGGAATTGGTCGCCGTACTGTGACCGATTTTTATCTTCCGTGTCTTCAATGCTGTCGTGTAAATGTAGCAATTAATAGGAAGTGTAAACAACAACAACAGCATCTCTTCAAAACTATAGAGGCAGATCTTGTGTTAATCAGGCTGTCGATAAAAGTTGATAATTTTTTCTCAACATTATTTCACGCTAAATTAACGAGACACTTACGTCATCGAAGTACATGTATGATAATTATGAAGCACATTCAAGTAAAATTTAATGTTTACAGTAGTTGGCTACCATAAAAACAAATCATCAGATTTCTTTGAATTTTGCAATATGGCTTCATTTTATGCTGTTCACAAAATCCTGAGAAAAATATATAGTCCAAACTGATTTTTCACACAAAACACGGGTCAAACCTCCATGATGATGGTGAATTTTGAGTTATTTGCCATTGGTTTCTATAGTAAAAATTCTCACCATAGTTTAAAACTTTGTTTGGCTATTAGTTCCCGTTCAGACGAAGTTCGAAAACGGGGACTTATAATTCAATCTCCGTCCGTCCGTCTGTGCGTCCGTCCGGAGTCATATCTCAGAATCCCTCGGACCGATTCCGTTCATTCTTTGCATGTGCCTAGTACTTTATGTGGACATATGCACATGCAGTGGTATAGCGATTCGATTCAAAATGGCCGACTGGCAGCCATCTTGTTTTTTGATAATGTTGTATTTTGGACATGCTTTCTTAGTTGTCATTCAAACTTGGTACATAGATTATACATGTTAGGATACATGTCCATGACGATTTTTTTCGCAATTGGATCAAAGATGGTCGACTGGCAGGCATCTTGTTTTTTTGTTTTTTTTATGCGGTATCTTAGACGTGCTCTGTCAGTTTTCATTCCAATTTGGCACATACATGTACTTTATACATGTTAGGATGCATGTCCATGACAATTTTTTTCAAAATCTAGTCAAGAATGGCCGATTGACAACCATCTGACTTTTTGGCCTTACTACTAGTATTTCCACAATTTATGTACCATTTTCATTCGTATTTGGCACATACATCATACATATCAGTGTGTTTCATAATCAGATCAAAGATGGCAAAATAACGGCTGTTTTTATTTTTGGCCATATTACTACTACAAGGAACACGTGTTTTGATGTAAATAAACAATCTGTTGTATACGTCACTTGGAACTCAAGTTTCAAGGACACGCTCGCGACAACTTCTTCGCTTTAATATGACGAGCACAAAGAGAACTTTTAAAAATTTAACGGGGACTGTGTCATTTTCAATGACTTGTGTTAGTTATATAACTGTTTTCACAAATTGTTAGAAAATTCTGATTATAGATGGATTATAGATTTGTTTCCAAACTGCACCAAAATAATCATTATTTCCATAACAATTTTTTAAAAATAAAATGTAACAAAATTGCACAAGTCAAGTTTTGTAAAGATTGTATTTTCAATCGGTAGGTTAAGTTACTGAATGAAATTACATTTAGAAGTTTGGGAAATATGATAAAAAGAAACATGATATCTCATGTTTTGGGAGATGCTGTCTTTTGTTTGGCGTATGCGCAAACTACTATTAGTCTATATAAAAAAAATTATAGGATTTTGAGTGGCTGGTTACAAAGTCTGGAAATTTTCAAATTTTTTTTTGTTTTCTGAAGTTTTAAAACTTCAACAATGTGGATCACATTGTTTTCTTGTTGCCAAGTTGCCAAGCTTCTCAGTTTGTCGGCCATTTTGTTTTTGAAATGTCAACCCACAGAAAAAAAAATCTCAAACAAAGTGTGAAAACCAAGTACATACGTCAATTCACATTATGCATACACACAGCATATGAATGCGAAATATACTGCGTTAAGGAACACAAACCACATCAATTGTCATTGCCTTGTGTGTATTGATTTAAAATAAATTGAATATTCAGTGTACTTTAATTGTTTCTTCAGTTGAATACTACTTTGTCTTTGGAACTATCAATCAAAATAACTATTGAGAATTACCCATTATAAAAACCGTCTACTGTAATGACAAAATACCTAGTTTGTTTACACAACTAACTTACCGGTACTCCCTTTAATTTAATGTATTAAGGGATGGCATACGTTGGCAGGTTCAATTTTT